AGGGAGGCAGAGAGAGGACAGAGAAAGAAGACAGAGATGGAGGCCAGCTGAGAGAGGAGGAAGAGGGAGACCCAGAGAGAGGACCCAGAGGTGGCGAGAGCCTACTCAGAAGCCCCCACACCGCAGGGGCTCAGGCTGGTCCCCAGCCAGCAGCCAGGTGCTGCCTCCTGCTCACCCTCCCCTGTGGCCAGAGCCCCAGCTACTGCTGCCACACAGGAGGCCACCCTTTGGCAGCCCCAGCAGCTGTCCTGGCACCCAGAGTTGCCCTGGGCTGGAAGGAAATGCCTTCACATGGGCTGGGCTCCCCAGTGCCTGCCAGGCCTCCTGAGCCTCAGTTTCCTCACCTGTGAGATGGGGACCCCACCAAACTCAGCATGGGACTTTATGGAGCACCTACTGTTTGCCAGGCCTCAGCTGGAGGCTGGAGGTGCAGAGTGGCCAGGCTGGGCCGGGGCTTCCCTCAGGAGCCGGACATGCTGGGAGTCGGGGTGCAAGCAGGGCTGATCGTGATGATAAACCCCCAAAGTTGACAGGGAATGAGGAGGAGTGGCTCCCAGCTGAGAGGGAACGCTGGGCACAGGCCCTGAGGTCAGTGGGCACTGGACATGGAGGGGAATGGGGCCTGCCAAGAGAAAATAAACCTCACGGCCAGCCAGGCCAGTGGGGGGAGGGTCCCACCTGTGATCCCCAGTGCTGTAGGAGGCTGAGGCAGGAGGATTGCTTGAGGCCAGAGGTTTGAGACCAGCCTGGGCAGCACATCGAGACCCCAGCTACACAAAACATAAAAATTAGCTGAACGCGGTGACATGCACCTGTGGTTCCAGCTACTTGGTGGAGGCTGAGATAGGAGGATCGTGGGAGGCTGAGGTAAGAGGATCGCTTGAGCCCAGGAGGTAGAGGTTGCAGTAATGATTGTGCTACTGTGCTCCAGCATGGGGGACAGAGCAAGACCTTGTCTCAAAATCAGAAGAAGAAGGAAGAAAGAGGAAGAGGAGAAAGAGGAGGAGATGAAAAGGAGGAAGAGGAGGGGAAGGAGGAGGAGGATGAGAAGGAGGAGGAAAGCAGCACCTGCCACAGAGTCCGGCCAGGCTTTGCAGCGTTTCATGCCCCTTCCCCAGTTTGTTGCTTCCTCTGGATTCTGCCCCCACCCCTGGGCCTGCCCTCACTCAGTCCTAGCTGCAGGTGCCTGTGCCCAGGTCTGTGTCCCCTCTCTGCCCAGGCCTCCCTGACAGGGTCAGACCCAGACCAGGACAGGGGTGAGTCTTGGCTGTCGTGTCCCCTCAGGGCCAGGCCAGGACAAGGGTGAGTCTTGGCTGCCGTGTCCCCTCAGGGCCAGGCCAGGACAGGGGTGAATCTTGACTGCTGTGCCCCTCAGGGCCAGGCCAGGACAGGGGTGAGTCTTGGCTGCCGTGTCCCCTCAGGGCCAGACCCAGACCAGGTCAGGGGTGAGTCTTGGTTGCCATGTCCCCTCACGGCCAGGCCCAGGCCAGGTCAGGGGTGAGTCTTCGTTGCCGTGGCCCTCAGGGCCAGGCCCAGACCAGGTCAGGGGTGAGTCTTGGTTGCCGTGTCAGGGCCAGACCCAGACCAGGACAGAGGTGAGTCTTGGCTGCCGTGTCCCCTCAGGGCCAGACCCAGACCAGGACAGGGGTGAGTCTTGGCTGCTGTGTTCCCTCAGGGCCAGGCCAGGTCAGGGGTGAGTCTTCGTTGCCATGTCCCCTCAGGGCCAGGCCCAGACCAGGTCAGGGGTGAGTCTTGGTTGCCGTGTCCCCTAGGGGCCAGACCCAAGCCAGGACAGGGGTGTGTCTTGGCTGCCATGTCCCCTCGGGGCGAGGCCCAGACCAGGACAGGAGCGAGACGTGGCTGCCATGTCCCCTCGGGGACAGGCCCAGGCCAGCACTGGTGAGTCTTGGCTGCTGTGTCTCCTCAGGGTCAGGCCCAGACCAGAACAGGAGTGATTTGTGGCTGCTGTGTCCCCTCAGGTCCAGGCAAGGACAGGAGTGAGGCGTGGCTGCTGAATTTCTTGCCTGTCTGCCAGGGCACAGATCTTACATGCCAGGGACAGGCTGTGCTGCCCTGCCCTGGGGGTTGCTGATGTCAGAAGGGGCCATGCCCCACCCAGTTTTCCAGGTGATAAGGGGGCCAGGCCTGAGGAAGCAGGAGCTGGGGGACCAACAAGAGCCCTAGGCAAGTAGAAAGTGTGAGCGCAGGTGTCAGGGGGTGTCTTTGTGGGGCCATATGACCCGGTTCCTTCCAGGCAGCCCTCCCCTCCAGCAGGAGGTGGGTCACCGGGAAGCCCCTGGGCCCCAAGCACTGACACTGCACCACCACCCATTCCCAGGCCCTCAACATCAGTGAGCACTACCCTGTGGAGGTGCAGCTGAAGCTGAGCCAGGCACACAGTGTCCAGCCCCTCAGCCTCACTGTCCTGTTGCTGCTGTCACTCCTGCCCCCTCAGCTGTGCCCTAACACTTAAGCATCCCCGCTCTAGAGCCTGCTGCCTTTTAGGACTCAAACCCCAGCCTCCCCAGTCTATCCAACCCTGTGACTGCAGTCCGCCCCACCTTCCACCTTCTGTTTGATTTGGCTCTTGCTCTTTGGCTGGGCTTGTGCCTAGATGAGGAGAGGAATCCCGGGTCTCCAAGGCTGGACTCGTGCCACCCGCCAGGTAGTGTAGTATAGGGAGTGGAGACAAAGTGGGGTCTGGGTTGTGGGAGGGGAAGGGAGGGCTCAGAAAGAGGAACCGAAACTTTTTTTTTTGAGACGGAGTTTTGCTCTCGTTACCCAGACTGGAGTGCAATGGCAGGATCTCGGCTCACCACAACCTCCACCTTCTGGGTTCAAGCGGTTCTCCTGCCTCAGCCTCCCGAGTAGCTGGGACTACAGGCACGCACCACCATGCCCAGCTAATTTTTGTATTTTTAGTAGAGATGGGGTTTCACCTGTTGACCAGGATGGTCTCGATCTCTTGAGCTCGTGATTCACCCGCCTTGGCCTCCCAAAGTGCTGGGATTATAGGCGTGAGCCACCGTGCCCGGCCAAAACTTTCTATAACAAGGAAAGTGACGAAAACTTCCAATGGGCGAGGTGTGGCACTAGCACATATACCAATGGGCCATCTTTATTGTGGATTGGGAAGAATCACCAGGATACCATGAAGCCCCCGTAGCTACAAGGAGGGTGATTAAGCCACTCCATCAAACAGCTTCCCTGAAACCAGCAAACACCGGGAAATGTTTCAGCTCATTGTAATCAGTGAGCGCTGCAGTCAGGCCTGTCGTAACAGCCACGCAGCTGTGCTTGCCACCCGGGTGCTGTTGTCTGGGTTGGCACAGGCTTCTGCCTGTCTGGCAAGGTCCAGCCAAGGCTGGTTAAGGCAACAGGTGCACACAAAAAATCTGCACCAGTTGTGTAACCTAAAAAGCTCCTATTTGAACCCAGGAGCCCCAGGAAAGGGGCTGCAGGACACAGTAAAATGTGAGCAGTGTGCCAAGCGAGCCCTCCCTCCTCACCTGCCACTGCCCCAAAAGAGCAGTTAACAGGCCATGTACTAACTCTGATCACATTTATGGTATGGAACCATTGCCCCAAGGTAAACAAAAATAAAGGTATTCCCAGGTATGTTTGGCAAAACAAATAAGTGAAGGTAATTAAAACCCTTAGAAATGGCTGTAAGTTGAGATTACAAAAAAAACAGAGGCCTCTGGGGCCACAGGCTGGGGAGCTTTTGGAGTTCCTGTCCCCGGGCCCAGATGCTCAGACCACCCACATAGCACTCTTCTCGTTCTGCTGCTCCCCCAAAGGCCATCACTGTTCTACAACAGTTCAAGTCAGACATCCAGGATCCCCAGGCCAAAGCGCGCCACATCTGTCTGTTCCCAGATCTTTCTGTTACAAAGGAGCAAAGGTTGGCCCAGACCAAATGGTGGTGAGGGCTCTGGGAATGCAGGCTCCAGATGGTGAGGGCTCTGGGAATGCAGGCTCCAGAAAGGGTAGGTGCATGCGGCTCAGGAGGCTGCTAGAGATAGGCAAATCCCAGGTGACACCATCAGTACCTGGATGATTCCGGAGACATCTAAACCACATGGCTGAGACCACGCCCAGCATGACACACATCTACCCTTGCTAAATAAAGGCTGCTGCTGGTCAGGGGCACTGTGGGTCAGCCTCTAGCCCACAAGCTCTCTTCACCCCCATGTGTTGTAATAAGCAACACAATCTGAGGCTGACTTCAGCCCAGGACTGCAAGCCTTTGCTGCAGCTGTGCTTTATGAAAAGCACTTCAATGCTTTTCAACCTACTGCCTAGGACCCAGGGAGGTCCAAGTCAAGTTCCAGAGTAGACAGCTGACACAAGGCCACCGGCCCTAGCCCTTTGCAAGTTTGCTGCCTCATGAGCAGGGCTGAGTTGTTAACCAGTTTCTGAAGTCAGAGGGCAATGATGACTCCAAGGTCCCCAGAGAAGTTCCTTCCCCCTCAAGAATGCACATACAAAGACATAGGTGGACAGGAAATCAATTTATTGGTTTATATTACTAGGGGGTAGCACAGTGGAAGCCCTCATGAGTGCAGGGGCCTGCCACTTGTCCAGAGGGTCACGACTGGGGATATACTTAACCCCACAGCCATCTGAGATGAGCTGCTTCTCAGCCACTGTGTCTTCAAACTCATCGGCATTGAACTTGGTGAAGCCCCACTTCTTTGAGATGTGGATCTAGGGAGGCAATGCAAAGAGCTGAGTCAGGAGGCCTGCGGCAAGGTAAGGTGGGAGAAGGGGGCTGCAGCCCCACATACCTTCTGGTGGCCAGGGAACTTGAACTTGGCCCTGCGCAGGGCCTCAATCACATGCTCCTTGTTCTGCAGCTTGGTGCAATGGACATGATCACTTGGCCAATGTGAACCCTGGCCACAGTGCCCTGGGGCTTTCCAAAGGCACCTCACATGCCTGTGTGGAGTCTACATTGGGGCAGTGCAAGGTGAGACACATGAACATACATCTGGAGGGCCTGTCTCCAAGGTCCCTTAGAGCAACCCATACAAGAAACAGGATGCATACACTACCAAGGAAGCTGCTGTGTTTGCAGCCATTGCACACTGGGCCCCCATGAGGAAAGGAACCCAGTTGGCTTAATTGGCTGCAGAGGATCCCAAGAACCACTGATACATCTTGCAAGGCACCCCTGGGCTCCTCTGCCAGCTCTACCTGCTTGCCGGCAGATGGCTGCCATCAAGCTCAAGCAAGGAAAACCATTCCCACTGCACGTGCTTCCCTTCACCTGTGACTAAGAGGTTGCTAAGACTTACTCATGCTTTCTTGCTTGTATCTGCAACAGTCCACAGGAAGTAGTCCTACTGAGTGACCACTGAAAGTCACTTGCCAGCTGTGTCCTGGCTTTTCTAGTAGTCAGCCATGGTGGCTGAGTCACTGGGGCCACCTCTATGCTCTGACAAATTAATGCAAGCCTAATAATGTAGAGACTCCAAGTTATGGGATAACTGCCTTCAAAAGTCCCAAACCAGGCTCACCTGTCAGCCCCAGCACAGGACAACACCTTGTTAATGCAGACAACGTGGAAAAGGGATGGAGCCGCACTCAGATATGAAAGCCATCTTTGCCACAACTTTTCACCATGTACTTATTGGCACAAATTTGGGCAGCCTCCAGGGCCAGGTAGAGGTGAAGGAAAGCAGCAAAGTAAGAGAAGGCAGTAGAGAAACATCCACCATGACCATCTCCAGCTTGGGAGAAATGTGTTGGTTGAGTTTTGTGAAAAGGCTCAAACTCCCAATACCAGTGCAGTGCATGCAAATGGGGCTGAGGGAGCAGGAGGACAACTGGGGGTGATTCAGAGAATCTGGTCTTACCTTCAGAGGAGAGCTGCTCATATTCATCCAATATCATGTGGCCACAGAGGGGAAACTCATCCACTTTTGCCTTCTTCTGCCCCAGGTCAAAGATGCGAATCTTGGCATCTAAAAAAGAATTGGGTAAGTGTGCAGGGGGTGTCGCGGACGGATGCTGGGTCAGTAGGGTCAAGCTAGTGCAGCAGCTCTTCCACTACTTACCAGGGACAGCAGGACTTTGGGTACGGCTTGTTCTGACAATACCGGCAACTGCAGGGGAGTGGAAAAACCCAGGTCAGGTGAGGTTCACAGAAAACTCAACCATCAACCCAAACGAGGGAATGCATGTCCACTTCTAAGCTGCTTCCATTCAGGGAAATGAGCTCCAAAGCAACACTTCGCTGCTGCAGCAGACAGCACCCGAGTAGAAACATAAAAGCCACCTTTTCCCGTTACTTTATCTTACACTTCCTGGAAAGTAAACACTTTGCAACAAGTTTTCCTAGTTAAAAATGCTCTCTCAGACACTGTGTACTACAAATTCACTGCATTATCATTCCACAGCTCAGGTCACCCAACTGAACACTTCACGTCCGGGAAGGCACGCGGCAGGTCGCCCGGAAATAAGACAGGGAACGCACACAAAGGCCCCGAGAGGGTATTTAGCGCCCGAAAATGCGGCGAGCTTGCAGGACAGAGGGAGAGAGATGAGGGAAACTTACACCCGACACTGGAATGAAGGAACAGACAATAATACTTAAGACTGAAAAGAACCGGGGGATGTGAGGCAAAACATAGGGTCAGTTCCCAAAACAGGCAGCCGAGGGGGGCGGGGGGTGGGGGGCTCCGCCTGACAGGTACTTTCAGGGCCCAAAAATAGTTCTTTCCCGCTCTCATTTCCCAGCCCTTAAAGTACATGGATTCAAAACTCACCAACGGGCGGGGCGGCGGCCCATAGCGACACCAGGATCTTCAGTGGCTGCAACGAAGGAGAGAGTCGGAATGGAAGACGAGAACAAGCCTAAAACCAGGGGTCAGAACCTGCAAAGGCATGGCCAGATACCACAAGCGTGCTCACTCACCGTGCGGAAGGAAAAGAGGCGCTCCTAGCTGGGCGCGGTGGCTCACGCCTGTAATCCAGCACTTTGGGAGGCCGAGACGGGTGAATCATGAGGTCAAGAGATCGAGACCATCCTGGGCAACATGGTGAAACCCCGTCTCTACTGAAAATAAAATAAGAAAAATTAGCTGCGCATGGTGGCACGTGCCTGTAATCCCAGCTATTCAGGAGGCTGAGGCAGGAGAATTGCCTGAACCTAGGAGGCGGAGGTTGCGGTGAGCCGAGATCGTGCCATCGCACTCCAGCCTGGGTAACAAGAACGAAACTCCGTCTCAAAAAAAAAAAAAAGCTCCGCGGTGGCAAACTCGATGAGTCCCGGAGCAGAGCGCCGGCTGCGCTGTACCGCGTGAGGGAGGGGGCGTGCCTACGGGAGGGAGGGGTCGGTGCGGGGACAGGAAACCGCGCCAGCGCAAAAATGCCCAGGCCGCGCCCTCCCGCGCACACCATTGGACAGCAGGGGCGTCCGTCAAAGGCGAGGGGCGGGAATTCCGTTCAATCTGAGCATGGTCATTGGCGACGACAGGCGAAGAGGAGGCTGGATAGGCGGGGAGGGGAGGAGCTTCCGGTGGGCGCCTGGAGGCTGAGAGGAGCGATGGATCCGGAGGCAGGGAGCGAGAGGCAGCTGTGGGCTCCGGCGGGCGGAGGCGAGGGCGACCCCGCCCCACCCCGCTCCCCCTCGGTCCCGCTTTCCGCACCTGCGGGTCCTCGGGCCGGCCCTCCGGGGCAGGCGGGAAGTCCCTTTCTGGCGTCGGCGGGTTGTCACTGTCCTCCCCTGGGGACTTGGCGGACAGGCGTCCTCTGAGGTCAGGGCCTGGGCGCCGCAGAGGGGCCGCCCCGCCCTTCCCACTCCACTGTGCTCTGAAAGCGCCTCGGGGCGCGTCTGTGGGGTCCTGGGGAAGCAGCGCCGACCCCACCCGCCCACCACGCAGCGTCCAGGGAGAGGTGGGCAGAGCGGCCCCAGTCAGGCGTCCTGGGGGAGGTGGCGTCTGGAGGTGTCTGTGCACCATTTCGCGCGTGGCGCGCGGTGGGGTAACAAAGTCTTCCCCGTCCCTTGACAGCCGTGGCCGCCGGGGAGGGAATCCTGCTCTGCTGCGGGCGGCCGTGGGCTGGGGCGCTTCCCCGCCAGACTGGCTCCTCGGGGAGGTGGGGAAGGCGAGCCCCGCAGAAAAGGCGGTGGCTTCCCTCGACCGAGCCATCCCTCCGGCCGGTCTTCCCGCGGGAGGGTTCCGGCACCCATGGGACTGCGGGGCCCCGCCCAGGGTTTCCGGGAAAGCCCCGCGTTTCCCGCCATCCTTCCCGCGCCAGGAGGGTTCCCAGCTGCTGGTGATGCTGCCCAGGCGGCTCCCCCCAGCGCCACCACCCACCTGGGAGCTCGCCGCTGGGTTTGGCCCGTCTGCTCTGGTTCCTCTTGGCTGGGCTCCGAGGCCTGGCGTCACTTCCCGTCTCCGCCGCGGCTCTGGCGACCCTGCTGGGTGGTGCAATCCGAGGGGATTGCATCCTGGTGGAGAGGACACTTCCCTCCCTCTCCCTTCCTCTCCTCCGCCCGCTTTGGCTCCCTTGTCCTTGCACGCTGCCTTGTCCACTCGTGTGTCTGGCCCTGTGTGTGTATGTGTGTGACCACGCGAGCCCTTAGTCACCTCTTGCTACTGTTTTTTCCCATGTTATCACTTGTCTCTTGACTGTGTGGTCTGCGGGTTGTGCTTGGTCAGACGGGATTTTAGTTGTCGTGTCATCAGAAGCTCCAGGCTTTCCTGACGGCTTCTGGGGGTTCTTGTCCGTTTGTTTCCTTCTGGCTCACACCGTGTCTTGCCCCCTGGATGCTGGGCACCGGTTCCGAGTGATGGGTAACAGGTGACCCCACGTTTTGGTCCTTCCCCACCTGGTGCTCCTCATCCCCCAGGGTTCTGAGGGACCCGCTCTGGGAGGGCTCTTGGGGAGCCAGGGACTATGGCCCAGGGTCCCTCTCAGGCTGCGGTGAAGGTGTCCACTGGGGCCCAGCCATCCTATCTGACTGACTGAAGAGGCTGTGGCAGGAGGCCTCAGCCCCCCGCCCTCCTCACAGGGCTGCCGGGCTTCCTGCAGACCTGCAATCCAATCGAACCAGCAGGGGAGGGCGCCAGACCCAGCCACAATCTGTGTACTACCTGGTATCCTAAGTGACTCGCCTCACCTCTCTCCTCTGTGGTTTTCAGTGGTCTCACAGGTCCACCCTGGAGCATGCTGGAGAGGGCGCCATGCTCAGGGTGGAGGCTGTTCCTGCGTGCTGTGAGTCAGAAGCGCCCTTGCACGTGTAGACCTGTGTTGGCTGTTGGAAGCCCCGAGAGGAAGGGCCGCCTCGAGAGCGTGTCCTTGGTGTCACCAGGAGCAGCAGGCCACCTCCTGGGGCTGACACTGGCCGGGGCCTGCATTTCTGAGGGCGGAGCATGCTTTGACATCCTGAAAAGGTTGCAACACCCATCACAGAGAACCCCAAGAAGGGAGACTCTGCCACAGAGACCCCGTGTGTCCCACAGGGGCTGCGTCGTGTGCTCTCTGGCCCTTCATGGAAGTCTTTCCCAGCCCTGGTCCAGGAGTCCCGGTCCTACATCCCCAGGAGCCAGCGGGAGGCTCGTTGTGGTCTCACTGCAGCCCCTTCTGCACGGTGTGAGTGCCCCACGCCAGCCTGGGTGGCAGGATGTGCCCTGCACCTCCAACACCCTCCCCCTCTCTGCCCCAGGTGGGGCAACCTTGCTCTGCAGACAGAGGAGGCCTCTCCTTTCCCCATGCAGCCCTGAAGGGGAGGGGCTGGGGCTGTGGGGGCAGCCCCTGGCCTTGGGGGTGGGATGTGGAGGGCTGAGTGGGTTCCGGAAGGGGCCCCGGGAGGCCCTTGGCATCTCATTTCCCTGGAGACGCACCCCATCCTTCCCCCTGGGACTGGCAGTTGACTTCCCGATGATGCTCTCGCTCTCTCGGTGGTTCTGAATTTGTCACCGAGGTTCTGTGGGCAGCGAGTGCTTTTCCTGTTGGCCGCCATCACCTCTGGGCAATACGGGCAATACAGGGGGCCCTTGGTGACAGCTCCTGGCCCCTTCCAAAGCCACCTGGCTCTCCTTGAACTGGAGGAGAGTAGGTTGCCGGGCCTTCCCTGTGGAATGTGTTCCTGGTAGGTGGGGACAGCCCCTCCCCCAGGGGTGTTGGGTAGAGGGTCCTGGGGCACCTCAGGATACGGTCAGGCCCCCCGAACCCCCATGCTTCTGGGCCATCTGCCTGCTGGCTGTCCTCTGTGAACCCTCTCTCCCTTGAGCCAAGGCACCGGCCTGGTGCCCCAAGAAGGAACAGTGAGGAGGGCCGACTCTCCCTGCTGTGGGGGCCTTGGGGGCCTGGACGGGGACTGCATCCTCCCTACCCCAGCTGCCCAGCGCCCTCGCTCAGGGAATGCTCTTCCAGCAGCCTGTTTCACAGATGGGCATGGTCACGACAGCAGCCAGACCCTGTCCTGGCCCGTGCAGCCACCTGGATGGATCGGCGCCCTCCTGGACTTACTGGCTCCATTGAGGGTCCCAAAGGAGCTGCCCCCGAGCACCCTGGGGGACTCCAGACCCCTCAGGTCTTGGCAGCTACCAACAGCCCAGGCAGGACCCAGGGGCTTCTGGGCACAGAGCCGCCACTCCCTGGCTCGTGAGCCCAGGGCCTCTTCAGCCGTCCCCTGTCGGGGAGCCTCCACTCCTGCTCTGGATCAAGGTCCTGCCCCCAGGGAGAGCTGGTGCCTTCGGGGACCGGGCCCTGATTGCAGTTGGAGAGTGCACCCAGGGACTGCGCTCCTCTTGGCTGCTGCCCTGCCTCCTGGGGGGCCTCCCCAGACCCCCGGCCTCTGGCCTAGGGAGTGTCTTGGTTTGGGAGTGCCCTGCCCTGGACACTGTTCGAGGATACATGCTTGCCCTTTGTTGGGGTCCAGGCACAGGGTGAGGGGCACTCAGCCCCACCACCTGTGTCTCTGGGAGCCCTGGCTGGGTACAGCACCTCTTCAGAGAGATCCTGTTTCTGGCCTGCCCCCCCATGCAGCTTGGGGCCCCAGTCGGTCACCTCCTAGCCAACACCTGCTGGTGTCCTAGCCTCAGCTGGGCCCTGCAAGCTTTCTGTGTGCACCCGGCCCCTCTGCAGGTGTTGGCAAACACCCCCACAGTGATGCCTGGGGGCCTCTCTGGGACTTTGTGTGCCAAGTTGGGGTGGGTGGTGGCGGGGATCTTTCCATAGTCACCTGCTTCCTGTCCTCCTCGGCCCTTGATTGGGGGGTACCCTGTCTGCTTGGTTTCCAGCCTGAGCCCCTCCCTGTGCTGGGCCAGTCCCCTAAGCTTCCCAGGCAGATTCCCAGGTCCACCCGAAGGAGCACAGAGCCCTGGACTGGAGCCCACACTGGAACCCAGAGGGACTCCTGGCCAGGGTTCCCAGTGGTGACTGAGTGCTGGACTCAGTCCCTGGCCGTAGATTTCAGGGAGCCCCACTCTGAGGGACTATTGCTTCCCTTTCCTCTCCAGGCTCCCTCCCAGTTTCCTGGGAGAGCGGGGATGGGGCTGTCAGAAGGCAGAAGGGAAGGTTGGGGTACCAGGGGTGTGGCTGGGGTGAGGGAAGGTCAGCTGCTACCCCCCTCCCCTGCCCTCCTTGGACTCAGTCCAGACACATCCTCCAGATTGGGGGCCTGTGCACCCTTCATGTCCTCCTAGTAGCCTGGCAGGTCCTCCTGGGTCTTCCTCAGTGTGGCTGGGTCCGCAGGCCATAAGCCCCAGCAGGGTGGGGGCCTGTGCTCTTGTTTTTGTTCCTACTTGCCCGGTCTCCCTGGGGAGGTCCCAGGCCAGGACCATTCCGATCTCTTTCCCTGCTGCCTGCCTGCCTGGGTGGCCTCCAGCTCACTGCCCCATGAGGCCTGTGACCTCCCGCCAGGGCAGGCCCCAGGAGCCTGGATCCCCCCAGTTTGTCTTCCACCCTTGCCTCCCCACATGTGTCCCTCCAGCCTGGGTATCATCCAGAGGGTTGGGGGATGGGCACCCCTGGTTTACCTAGCCCAGCCCCAAAGCAGTTCTCCTGGTGACCCTGCCAGGCATGGGCTTGGGAGAGGATGTGATGGAGCCACCACAGGGAGGGGGCAGGGCAGGAGACTCCGGGTGACCCAGGGCAGGAGGGGGCACCCCAGAGGTTGAGAGTCCTGACAACACCACGGGCTGAGCTGACAGGTCGGGGCCTCAGGGGGACCTGTCGTCCTGCCCACTGGCACTGGATCTTTCTGGGCCTGGCTCTGCTGCCTCCCACCCCCATTCAGCTGGTGGCTTCTAGAGGCTTCCAGAGCATGCTTGGCCCCTTTGCCTCTATGCCATTGGGCCCAGTGGGAGCAGTAGAGTGTCTGGGGCTGGGGGTGGGACTAACACTTTCTGTGTCTTGCTTGCTCATGTCTCTTAGTGAGTGGACAGCCTGAGCCTGGGGCCAGCAACCCAGCCTCAATCAGAAATAAAAGTAACGATTCTGCCTGAGCTGCTGCTGCCCTTTCTACTCTGCCCCCTCATCAGGGATCAAGGAGGGCACACAGGGTGCTAAGCTCTCAGGAGGCCTGGGATTGACGTGTGGGATGGCTACAGACTATGGCCTGGTCCTCTCCTCCTTCCCCTCGCTCATGTGCCTGGCCTTGGGCTGTGTGCTCTGAGGTCATGGGGACCCCTAGAGCTTTGTGTAAGATGCTGTGGAGCTGAGGGAGGGCCTGGCATGAAAGCTGGGCCTTTCCCCCGAGAGCCTTAGCTCCTGGCCCTTGTCTGCAGATGCTGGGATGGTGATATCCTTGTCAGGGGTTTGAACAAGGGCCAAAGCCACCTGCAGCTCTTCGCCCAGGGAACAGGCAGCTTTGTGGGCTGCAGTGGGGATGTCCAAACAGCACGCAGGCGCACCAGGAGCCAGGACGGCTTGGGATGTGTGTAGAGCGGTCTTCAGTCAGAGACACAGGTTGGTGTGGGAGTCCATGGCAGGGGCACAGTTGAGTCGTCTTCAGCAGCGGGCCCAGGGCACCTGGGATTGGCTGCAGGACAGAGTGGGTGGGGCTAAGAGGTGGCCACAGTGCCAGTCATTGGGCAGGTGCCAACAGCTTGGCCCCAGGCTCACTTGGCTTTGAAGGGGCTGCTCCCAATGTGGTAGGGCGCCATACTTGATGGAGATGAGGTAGCTGCCAGGTGCCATGGGGGTAATGGTGACACGGTAGCCCTCAGGGCACTTCTGGCAATCCATCTTCACCTTGGAGGGGCCGTCAGTGGTCACCGAGAGGGCACCAGCTCCCGCATTGCTCGTGTTCATGATGAACTCAGCTGGGCTCCCTGGGAGCACAGAGGTCAGGCAGAGCCAGACTGGCCTGCCTCCCCATCCCTGGTCACCCAGCACAGGCTTGTCACCTCCAGATGCCTCCTGTTATCGCCCAGAGCTTGGAGGCAGGGTCCACAGACTCAACTGTGCAGTCTCCATAGGCAGACACCAAGCCTAGGTCTTCTCCATGCCCAGGCTCCCTGGCTTGGATCTTGAAGGGGCTTCCAGGATGTGGGTGCCATTGAACTTGACATCAATCAGGTAAACGCCATTCTCCTGAGGGATAAAGCACACAGCATACTTATATCTGAGGAGCAGAGAGCCATGCTGTGGGCCTGGGGCCCCTCCTCAAACCAGCAAATGGTATCTGTGAGGAACAGCCTCAACCCTCACCCTTCCCATTTTGCCGGCCCATCAGTGAGCCCAGCAGCTCAGTGGGGTCCACCGTTTCTTCTGGTGCCATGCTGGACACCTGCACCCTGCAGCAGACTTCCTGAGGCCCGAAGCTTTAGAAACTCAAGCCACCCGCTGTCAGGGATCATTGGGACAGAAACCTTAGGCAAGCCACACCCAGGCCTCGCTGCCTCCTAAAGGTTACAGTGAACACCATCTGTGTGTTAACAGGCTCAGAGACAGGCAGGAACTTGCTTCAGGTCATGCAGCTGGGAAGGGCATGACTGGGCTGTCAAACAAAGCCCACTGGGCTCCTCCTACCCCCAAGGTTGCCCCGGGCCTATCTGCAAGTCTTGTGGTTGCAGCTAAAGAGCCGGGCAGCACTGAGGCTGGACTCTGGGTCTGTCCCTGTGGAGAGAGTACTGCAGGCAGGAGGCCTTCCTAATGGCCATGACTGACAAGCCACATCCCCAAGGGCTTGGGTCACCAATTGGGAAAGGGTGGCCTGGCAAAGGCAGCCCAGGAGTTGGGGCCCCGTCTTGGCTGCTTACAGAAGCGGTACATTCCTTTTGTACTCTTAGCCTCCTTCCAGCCAGCAGGGCAGGGTGGCCGGGCAGGGACAGGGGCTCACCTTGGTCAATTTCTGTGGCATAGCACTCCTCCAGGGCTCCTGAGGGGCTGTGCACCTTGGCATCGATCACCCCTTTGGCCCCATTCAGGCTGACTGCAAAAGAGGCTGGCTGGTTGACCTTTAGCCCTAACTCCCGGAAGCACAGCAGACATGGTTAGATGGGGGGTTTGGGCCAGTGCAAGGGAGGAAGGAAGGCCCCCAGGAGCGAGAGGCCCGAGGTCGCACTTACCCATCTAGCGTCCAACTGGGTTTAAAGAGGGAGAGCCACTTATATTCAAGAGGCAGCGCAAGCCACAGGCACAAGTCCGTGCCCCTACCACCACCCCCATGCTCTGCCATGGCACACACCCAGGTGGCAGGAAGGGAGGGCAGCCCCACCCTGTGGGCAGCACCCAGCAGGCAGCACCCAGCCTTGGAAGGCTGTCCCTCTTTAAACCACAGCCCTGGTGCTCAAGGGGCACAGGCTTCTGTTCAAAGCCTTTAGACCTGAGACATGAGAAAAACTCCACGTGGTGGGCAGGATATTTCCTGCCGACCCCAAGTGTGGGCTGCACCCGGCTAAACCAGAGGCCTGGAACCCAGAGTTAGGCCAGGGGGGTCACTCGATATAGGGCCTAGGCCTGCTCTGTGGTGGCTCTGGTCTGTCCAGGCCCAGGAGCCCCAGGTGGGTGGTTTCTCTCGGTGCCTCACCTGAAGGCTAGAAACAGTGAGGTGGTGGGCGTCGCCAGACGGAGAGGCCCCAGGTGCCACAAAGGGGCTGTCAGGGATGTGCTCCTCGTTGAACTTGACTGAGACTTTGTAGTCACCTGGGCAGGGAAAGAGCATAAGACCAGCTCAGCAGCCTGGGCAGCCCTGGGACCACCAGGTGAAGGGTGGAGGCCAGGCAGGGCTATCTGTACAACCCCTGGGTCCCAACTCCTCCAACCCCACCTCGTCCAGCCAGTTCCCAGTACCTGGCTCCTGGACCACATAAACCACACCGCAGGAGCCATACTTGCGGTCCTCAAAAAAGATCTCAGCCTTGCTGGGGCCCTCGACAGCAATGGCCAGGCCTCTGGCACCAGCTTCCCAGGTCCAGATACTGAATTCGGCTGTGGGAGAAGTGCCTCCTCACTGAAGGCTGCTCCACCAGCCTTGGCCCCCTCCAGGCATAGCCAAGGTAGGCATGCCTGCCAGCTCCTTCTTCCACCCCCAACCCCATCCCTGCCAATGCAGGAGAGCAAATGCTCAGGAGTGAGCAGGCCTACCTGGCACTCCAGCTTCAGCCCTCTCCAGGCCAGGGCCCCTAGCTCAGACCTTGTGGGCTCCCCCTTCCCCTAGGGGCCCCACAGTGAATTGGAAGGGGCTCCCAGGCACGTGCTGGCCCTTGTACTTGACGCTGACTGTGTGTGTGCCCATCTCAGCAGGAACAAAGCGGATGTAGTAGGTGTGGTTCTCCCTTCCACGATCTCAACCTCATGACTCTTGCCTGATGGCCTGGTCACCTGGGCTGTCATATCCTGGATGCTGATTTCTTCAGGGTGGTGACAGTGGTGACAGGCTGGTGAGCAGCAGCCCTGGGCTCCACCCCTCCTCTTGGGACTGCCTGAGCCCCAGGCTTCCCACAGACCCTAGCAGGGATCTTCAGGCTGAGGTCACAATGACTGCCAATGTTGGCCACTGAAGGAGCCTGACGCCTGCACGTGATGCTCTTTCACCTGGCCCTCGCCTGTCACCTTCACAGAGAAGGGGCTGCCTGTAGGAAAAAAGCACAGCCCATGCCCTCCAGTCACACACTGCCTCTGGGCCCTCTGGTGTGGTGAGGGGTGCTGCCAAGGCACTGCTGCACTCACGGGGCATGTGCTGGTCAGCAAACTTGATGCTGATGATGTACTTGCCAGGCTCTGTGGAGCAGTAGGTGACCCTGCTCGTCCCATCCTCCAGGTCCTCTGTGTTGATGTCTACCTTGCTGGGGCCCTCAGTGGACAGGTTTAGACCACCAAAGCCTGGGGGATGGAGAACCCTGAGCTTGGGTGCCATGTACAGTGTTCCTGCCCCAACTGGTGGGCAGCAACTGCCTACCTGCATCTCGGGTATCAATGATAAACTCTGCAGGCTCAAAGGTGTGACCTTCATGGAGGCCCTGGCCAGAGACCTGAATGTGGCTGGCACGCCGATTTCCGACTGGCTGATCACCACCGGGATGGGGCTGCTGGCCACGTGTTGGCCATTTTTCTTCATGTGCACCAGGTGCTCCCCTGTCTCCTTGGGCACAAATGAAATCCCTAGGCACAGGGAATGGCTGTCAGTCGGGGATCGGGGAAAGCGTGGGTCCCCACAGACTGCCTCCTTTCTGAAACTGCTGGACCCCCTCAGCCACTTACCAACGAGGCCATTATGCAGTCGCTTCAGCGAACAGGGCTCCTCCCATCCTGAGGGCGGGACCACGGTGAACAAGCCATCCTGAGGGCGGTGGCCATCAGCAGGCTGAGGTCAGTTTCTGAGATGTTGATGGGGATGTCGATGGCGGAGCCCACCTTTAGGTGAGACATCTGCATGGAGTCGTCACCTGGCATGGAACAGGGCAGCCATCACTGTGTCCAGCCACGGGAGACCATGCCCACCCTGCCACCTGTTTGTCACTGCTCCCAGTGCCACCCATCTGTGACCCGGACAGTGAAGGGGCTGCCTGGGATGTGCTGTTCATTGTACTTGACCAGATACTGTAGTCACCCAGCAGCATAGGCAGGTAGGAGACGCTGCACGTCCCATCCTGGTTGTCAGTGCAGCTGATTTCTGCTTTGGACAGGCCCTCGACAGAGATAGGCCCTCTGGAGAGAGCCGTGGGTAAGCATAGGAACTGTGCTGGGGACACACAAGTTGTTCTCCAACAGCCAGGTAGAGGCCAGGGCAGCAGGGCGGGGTCCAATTTGGGAGTGTCCCGAGTCCAGCCCTTAACCTGGTGAGGGCATCCCAGGCACAGAGCTACTGCTCATCCTCTCCTGCATCCTTGGTGTTGACAGTGAAGGTGGCAGGCTTGTTCACTACTCTGTGGGTGAGGCCAGGCCCATAGGCAGTGACATGGCCACAGTTGACGCAATCCACATAGAACTGCAAGGGGCTTCCTGAGGCAGGAAGAGGGGCCTTGTGGAATGGCAGCCTTGTGCATCCCCCAGCCCCATCTCTCTGTGAGGTGGTGACAGAGCAGTGGTCAGAGGCAGGGCAGGCCCACCTGGGATGTGCATGTTGTCATAACGCATGTCCATCTCATGCAGGCCAGCCTCTATGGGCGCATACCACATGGTCATAGTGCTGTCGTTGTCAGTGATGGCAGGCTGTGCCACCTTGCCTGAGGGCATCTGAACCTCCCCTGTGGGGCAGCAGGGCTGAGGTTAGGGCAGCTTGTTGGCATGACCTGGCCTCCTTGGCTCCCAGGGCTTCTTCCCGACCCCACTCACCTGTGATCTCACCCTTCTTGATGGTGAAAGGGATGACAAGGTCAAATGGCCTCAGGCCGGTCACATCCAGCCCATTGACACCCACGCAGGGTCTAGGTGAGGGGCAATGGGAGTATCTGGGGCCCCTCCTTAAACCTGGTATGATAGGACCTCACAGAACACCCAGCTGGCCAGCCCCAGTTTCCCTAGCTGGTCAGGCCATACCCAAGTCTGCTGGCCACCCTGGGTGTAGGTGTACTGTGGGGCCAGCTGCTGTAGTAGGGGCTGCACCGAGAGGGCTGGTCCCCAGAGCCTGCAGGGCAAAGCACAGAGCTGTAGAATCTATTGTCACAGAGAGTCCCCAAGGGGATAGGCCAGGACCTGCCAGATTCCCCTCCTGTTCTACCCTCCTCACCGTCACTTGGAAGGGGCTGTTGGGCACGTGCTTGCCACCAAAGTGCACGCAGATAACGTATTTGCCTGGCTGGGGGGCTGTGTAGAAGATGTCGAAAGTGTCATCCTCATTTTCCACCACATCCACATCTACCTCCGAGCCATCAGGTGTGCGTGCCCATGGTACAGGTCACTTTGCCTGCTGCCTTCGTGTCCACAGTGATCACCGTTTCTGCCCCAATCCGGATGGTGGGGCCAATGCCAGCACCTGGTGGGGCAGGGTGGGACCCTGAAGGGGGGCCAGAGTATGAGCTGGGGCTCAGGTTGCTCCCATCTACCTGCCGCCCACACAGGCCTCTCCCTGCCACCACCAAGCATAGCCAGGCCACCAGGCCTCCTGTCCCACCCCGCCCCACCCCGCCCCTCCAAGCTGGGATGACAAGTCGTTTCTCAGAAGGCAGGAAGGGTTCTTCTGACCACCTCAATCAAGCGCCCACGTGGGAGAGGCCTGACAGCGGCACCCAGGTGCCTGGGAGGAAAAGGTAGGGCCCACTCCAGCCTAAGTGTTGGCAGCTCACCCAGCCACTCTCTTGCCTACTCAGCCTCACCAAGTACCACAGCCCACACTGCTGAATGCCAGCATCTGGCTGGGCACACGGCTGCCTGTGCCCCTGTGGCCTGGCCCCGGCCCCCATTGCTATGTGTGGACGCAGTGAGGCAGAGTCCTGCTGCAGCATGGGGGGATGTGACACTTGCCTGCCCACCCCCCCAGGCCTGAAGGTGAAACCGAAGTTTCCTGACAACTGAGAAGGCTCGTGGTGAAAAGCAGCCCGGTGCAGGCAGGAGTGGGAGTGGGGAAGCGGGAGGCAGCAGGGCTAGCACCCGAGCAGCACAGCAGACTTGGCAAAGTGGGAGCAGCACCCAGGGAGATAGGGAACAGGAGGCCCAAGCTACAGGCACCACTGCTGGGTGGTGAGGGTACAGCAACTGAGCAGGCTCCAGGGCCCTGGAGTGCCTGAGGAAAGGGGAGGAACAGTGATGTTATGATCTGGGGCTCCACCGTGGAGGCATAGGGGCTGTGAGGCCCATGAGGCCTGGCAGTGAGATGGCCCCGCAGCCTGGCCTCCTGCCAGGGAAGCAGCCAGGAGCACGAAACCCACTTGAAGGCCAAGTTTGAGGGGCCCTGCCACCAAGTCCCACTGTCAGCCGATGGCTTCTGTTGCACTAGGCTCCATGCTGGCCTGCGGCAGCCCTGCACCTCTCCCGAGCTCCAGACCTGGCTGCCTGCTGTCCATGCTGCCCTGGGAGGCTTCCCTCATGCCCACCCCATGCCATCTAGCTAATGACTTGCACTTCAACCTCACGGGTACCGGACTCTCCCTGCTTTCCCAGCCCAGCCACAGGTCTCAGCCATTCCATCCTCAAACTATGCCTCCTAATCTGGTGCTCACTGAAGCCCCATGGCCACCAAGCCAGCCCTCTGGCTTGCCTGGGGGGAGCAACTTCAGCCCCTTGCTAGGCTCCCTGTCTCCATTCTGCACACAATAGCCAGGGAAACTGAGGCTACTGAGTCTTGCTCCCACCCCCGGCCCTCAACATCAGCCTTTCCTGCCCTGCACACACACGCCTGCCACCTCACTCCTGCCACAAAACTCTAGCCACCCTCTAACCCTCTCCTTGGCCACCTTGCCCAAGTGCCAGGCCTGCAGACTCTTATCAGCATTCCTGGGTGTCCCTGTTGAATGTCTGAATAACTGCTGGGAAATCAGGGAGGGGGAAGGAGGGAGACAGGCCACAGAATGCACTTTGGGGCTCTGAGGCTGGGCTGCGCCCTGCCATGCTGGCCACCCAGGCAGTCGACACTGGTGCTACTGCACTACCAGCCAGCCCCACCCACTCATGCACTTCCCCCAGCCAAGGATGCAGAGGCCCCCGGAAGGTGGGGATGGGAGTCTGTGGATCTGGCCAGGGCTGGAACCCCCATTGAGTCAGGGAGATCCCTTGTTGCTCAGCCCATGCAGGAGCCCTTGTGCTTCCCTGGGTGCCAAGATCCCAAGACCCCAAAGTCCCCAGTGGGGTGCCTCTCAGCTGCAACCTTGAAGGAGAGAAGGCTGGATCAGCAGACCAAATCATCTGTAAGGCAAGATCTTTTCAAAGTACAATCTCCAGGTAGGGCGGGGCATAATTACCCGGTGATGTCATCTAGTGCAGGTGTGCCAGGGTTGTAATCCATCCTCTCCCAGGGCTTTAAAAGGAGGCCGTTTCACAGTGTGGAGAACCTAACATCGAGTTCAGTACAATACTGCCTCCTTCACTCCTGCCCCAGAGCAAGTGGCTGGATTGGAAATAAAACCACCCAGGCTGAAGAGCTCAATCCATGATAGGTTTGGATAAAAAACAATGAGCTAGCCAGCCAATGAAAGTAACGTGTCCACAGGGCCTCCAGACTAAAGACACTGGGTTGTAAAGAAGCTGTCAAATAGGGGACTCAAATTAAAAAATTTCATCTCCAAAGCACCATGCTACTCGGAAGTCTTGGTGTAACGATTTACTCCAGGCCATCTTGTGTATGTTAATTAACTTCCCTGAGCCTCGGTTTCTTCACTAAATGAAAAAGAATCTAGGGCCAAGCACAGGGGCTCACTCCTGTAATCTCAACAGTCTGGAAGGCCAAGGCAGGAGGATCACTTGAAGCCAGGAGTTTGAGACCAGCCTGGGCAACATAGTGAGATGCTGTCCCTACAAAAAAAAAGTTTTAAAAAATTATCCAGGTGTGGTCGTTTGCCCCTGCAGTCCTAGCCACTCAGGAGTTCAAGGAACAGTGAGCTATGATTGTGCCATTGCACTCTAGCCTGGGAAACAGAGCAATACCCTGTTTCTAAAAAAAAAAAAAAAAACTAAAAGAAGAAACACAATCTATCAAAGCCTATATAAATGAAAGGTATTTTGATGGTGTGACAGCTTTTATTCATATTTAACCGCTTCCTATAAAAGATTTCTCTAAAGCAGCGTTTCCCGGTGCATGTTCCTTAGGGCATTTCTATGACACCTAGAGCACTAGTTTCATAGAGCATAACAGGCATTTCATGAAAAAAAAAGCCATTCAGTTTGAGACACACTGAGCTAAACCAAGTTAAACAGATGACTGCGGAACTCACAACCTTTCATATGCTAATGTACATTTCCAGGAAGGCAAGGTGTAGTATATTACAGTTTTAAAAACTTGTTTAACAATGGACTCTTTTCTTCCTGGGTTATCTTACGGAATTTAGTGGCCCAAGAAAGACAGTTCGGGATGCTTATCTTTAAAACGGGATTGGCATGGCCACAAAAGTCTTGTAGCTTTCAGAGCTTGTTTTCCACCTATGAAATCAGGATGATGACACTATCTCACAGGGTCATAAAGCTGAGATGAGACGATCCACAAAGCCTGCCACAGAAGAGGCCTTCAGCAAATGTGAGCATTTCTTCTCTAAAGAGAGAAACTGAATAAACCTGGAATGCTTGCAGTGAAAAATTTTCATGAAACCACTAAGCTGGGTGCAGTAATGCCCACCTGTAATCCCAGCTAGTCAGGAGGCTGAAGCTGGAGGACTGCTTGAGCCCAGGAGTTTGAGACTAGCCTGGCCAACATAGTGAGACTCTTCTCTAAAAGCAACCACCAAGAAACTAACTAAATAAATACTTTTTAAAAATGTTAAATTCACTAGTAGAAAGTTTTCTGTGATCACTGGAATTGTCTGTAAAAATTATTTTTTACTCTCTTAAAGAGCAGGGACAGTAAAAAGTCCCTTACCTCTGAGAGCCAGGGGACAGGCTTGTTCCACTTCAAGTAGCTGCTGTTACTGCTTCCACCTCGGTCAATTTCATGCTCCTAGTGGAATAATGAAGAATGAACTTGGTAGGAATATCAGGAGGAGAAACTGCAGGCAGGACAGGGTTGAGGCCCCTTGGAAGTGTCCATGGGGAAGCAGAGGTCCAGGAGGCACAGCGCCTGCTCACCAGGAGGCATCAGCTCAGAGCACGCTTCCATCTGTTATTCACACGATGTCCCTGGGGAATACATCTCTGTACTTCCATCAGTACGTGCTCCTGAGTTTCCCTCACTTTTCTCAATTTTCTGTCTTCCCCATATTGGAAAAAAGTTTACCCATTAGGTTGGGACCTCTTGAGGGCAAGGGGCTTGGCTCCCTCTTTCTCCTTATCCCCTAGCTCTCTAGATTTGGGTTCAAACAAGTGGGAGCCCCTCAGGGATACCCCAAACCCTCCCTACTGTGCAGGTCCACAGGTTCAGTTTGACTCTGGTCCAACTCTGGGATCCATATCTGCTCTACGCTCAGCTTTGGGGCTCCTGACTGAATGAGACCCCAGTTTCTCTAAACTGCCTCCTTAGGGACCGTTGCCTCAAGAAACACTATAGGGAAATGCTCCACTACAAGTCTATACTCCCAGCTACGGGCAGGGAGGAGTGTGTGTCCACCTTGTCACCTCTAGTCTCATCAGCAAGCACAGCTCAGCACAGCCCTCACCCTACTGAGAGGCAGCACATGCCATTGGTAGTGGAGGTCACAGGCCCAGAGTGGTTCCAACATGGGCAAACTGAACTAGGGGACAAGGGCAGATACCAGAAAACCCAACCCAGTGGCAGCCCCAGGCTTTGAGAAGGCTGGATGACACCTCTGCAGCTCAGCTAGGAAGTCCCGAGGCCAGACTAGGATTCAAGGGGCTGTTTCTCTTCTGCTTGTCCTCCCATGGAGTAGTGGAGGTTACCCTTAACTGGGCAGAGCACCTGGGGACCCATGTTAAGGCACCAGCAGGACAATGGGCTGGCCGGTCACGTACCTCAAGGCTCAGCCTCTGGGGGTGGTAGAACTGGAGATGTGGGTCCACAGCTGGAATGTTCTTGCTGGCCAGAGCTTTGGCCAGTTCTCTCCAGCTGCCATACCCTGCAGAAGGGGGAAGAGAGGAGCCTTCAGGCCAGCGTAATCTGGAAACCTCATACATCTAAAAGAAAAGATGTGGGAGGTAAATGGAGGGAACCGTCTTCCCTTCTGCTCCTCACCCCTCTTTAGAGGGTGAGTGGGAAGTGGGCAAAGCCAGGGGCAGGAGATAGCTGCAAATTGGCCAAGGTCCACAGGGCAGAGAGAGATAAGCTTACATCCCATCAGCAGTTGCCACCTTCCAGAAACCAGAGAAGGAGCCAGGCCATCTGAGCATGGACCATGGGCCTCCCACTAAGGGCTCGTTCTCCTCCGGTTGCCTCTGGAGGCCAATGTCTCCCAAAAGCTGCTGTGGAGAGATGGTCATGGCAGGTGGTACACTCTTCCCTTCCTGCTCATTCCTGTGCCCTAAGCCCGGGAACAGCAGGTGGTTACTTATGGTGGGGGGACCCCCTACCACTGATCACTGGGTTGCTGGATGGAGCCAGAGCTAAGGGAGGCAGGAAAGGGTGGGCCTGGATGTGGTGTCTGTCAAACAAATTTATAAACCACTGGAGATACAAGATTAGAGGCCGCCTCGCTTATTTCTGGAGTCATCGGGAGGCTGCATGGGGCTGATGCTGTCTGCACCCTGAAAGCTCTGGAACAGGCTGGCTTGCACACATCTGGGAAGGCAAAAAACCAAACCGTGGTGATAGGGAGGGAGGGAACAGGAAACTGGGGGGTACACGTGCATTCATAAGTCAGGAGGTGAGGGCAAGGGAGAATCAGAGTCCCTCGGTCAGCCACTGCTGACACTTCTAAGGACCAGGATCCCATCTGAAGGGAGATTGCTGGGCTTTGAACAAGTGGAACCAAACCACTGTTAGTCACAAACCAGAAGCATGGACCACTGAAAGCCGGAAGAGGCTTTCAAGATCCCCTCATCCTCACTTCAAAGGAGGAAAATGGGACCCAAACTGGTCAAATGGCTAATCGAGGCTCACTTAGCAAGTAGAGACAAGGCTAAGACGAGGACCCCAGTGTGCAGATGGACCTCCACAGAGCCTCCCCTCTCCCTTCAACAGCCTCAGTTCACCGTGATGCCCCCAGGACACTGTGGTGGGCACTGCTTGGAAGGAATTAGCCTGACAGCCCCCAACCCCTGGGAGCCAAGGGTTGACAGTAGGCAGAAGTGTCACAGAAACCCCTATGTGAGCACGAGCAGAGACACAGACAGCCACGTGAACACAGAACACAGAGCACCACCCACAAATATGGGCATCACCGAAGATGGCCCCCCACGCTGTGCACGAGTGTTTATGTAACAGGCTCGGGGACGGGCGGGCACAGGGACTGCACGCTGGCACGCTGGCACGCAAGTGTGGGGTGAGAGAGCTTTCTTACATAGTTATGCTGTGTGTGGACCCTGTCGTGCTCGCTGAGTGTCTTACAGGCGTGATTTCAACTGAACCTTGTTAAGAATCTCCCGAGAGGCCGGCTCCATTACCCCATTTTACAGATGAGGAAAGAGTGCTCCGAGTTTAAAGTCACAGAGCTCGTTGTTCAATAGCCAGGATTAGAACAGAGAGCTCCTCACGGGCCCACATTTTCTCATTCTGCCTACATTTTCTCCTGTGGGCACTTTCTGGCATAGACTTTGAGGTGTGCCACCACAGAGGCCTCAGCAGGCGATCTGTCTCTGGGTTCTGCAGATGTTAAACCTCCACTCGTGTTATGGTTACAGGGATTTCTGCAGCTTTAGCCCTCTGCCATCAAGGTCTCTCCTGTTTCCAGGCTGGCCCAACTGGCAGGAACAGGTCCAATGAGTTCAAGGCAGGGGTGTGTTCTGGGGAAGCAGGATTCTGGGGCCACTGAGGTGATGTGAAAACATGAGGAGTGAGGGAGAAAGAGGAAGAACACCTCCGGAATATCTCCTCCATTTCTGGATGAGTGCAGGGAAACTGCTTGTTCATTGGCTGATACCAACCACACACATTATCTAAAGCAAGAGCTGAAGGTGGCCCCCCACGCTTCCCAGCCCCGAGGAGCTGCTGACTAGCAGTTGTGGGTTCAGGTGTGCCTGGGTGAGACACATGAGTTACACTGTTGGGAGGGTGAGGATGGGCCCTGCCTTGCTCCTGCATCTGAATGACTGGGTCATCTTCGCTCTTATGACTGAAAACCTCTTACTCAAGAGAAGCTTGTGGGAAATAGCCATGAAATGCTGCCTGCCCCATCAATGGGAGCTACAGCACATCTCAGGTGCACACTCCTTCTCCAAGACAGTCTTCAGCTCAGCCAAAGTGTGGTGTGACTGTTGGAAGTCACACCCAGGGGAGATGACTTACCCTCACAATGAACTAGCATTGTGGGTCTTCAGCTGCCCTTGTCCTGGCATCTGCTGGGAAGTGACAAAGACACTCTCTTTGACCAAGCCTTAGACAGCTCCTCTGAGCACTTTTTTATGAGGCCTCATCCTTGGGCCCCATCCTGGCCCTGCCTAGTCCAGTTTTCTGCAAGAATTCTGCTAGGTCCATTTAGCAGAACCCCCCAGCCCCTGACATCTGACCAAGCTCCTCACCTCCTACCCTTGCGAAAGAGTCCCATTAGGCCAGTTCAGCAAGAATCCGTCTGTCCTTGATGTCTCTCCTCAGCTGTTTTCCACCCACTGGCCCCTCAACTCTGTGGGTTGGCTATCTAACCAGTCAGCGCTGCTGTATACAAAGTTGAGCTCAGCTCTGTCCTGAAGCCTCTCTCCTGTGTAAAACAATACTAAATAAAATCCATCTGCACGACTCGTAACTAGTGTGCAGTCCAACTTCTCTTTAACAGAAGGTAAGAGGCAGCTCTCTCAGTGACCAAGGACAAATCCATTTAGGGAGGTGAGTTGATTACACGTAGGAAATTCAGTGACATTAAACCCAGTCAGGTCTTGCCCCTGGGTAACAGGTGAGTCTAGGTGGCTATGAGATACCTAAAACTTGGGATAAGTCAACAGCACAACCTTCACTAATTTAAGGAGTAGGAAAATTCCTCTGCAGGCCTTACAATGTAGCAGAAAGACAAGCAAGCCTTCTGAGTCAGAAAGATCTCTAATCGTGGACTGCTGAAGTGGCTCATGCCTGTAATCCCAGTACTCTCGGCAGCCAAAGTGGGAGGATCTCTTGAGACCAGGAGTTTGAGACCAGCCTGAGCATCACAACAAGAACCCATCTCTACAAAAAAGTTAAAGTGAGGGAGGCTGAGTTAGGAGGATCCCTTGAGCCTAGGAATTGGAGGCCGCAGTAAGTCATGATCTGTACTGTGCTCCAGCCTGCGCGACAGAGCAAGACCCTGTCTCTAAATAAATAAATGAATGAATGAAGTACTAACATGCTACAAGTGGATGAATTTTGAAAACATCATGCTGAGCAAAAGAAGCCAGACATAAGAGTGGGTAAATCCACAGACACAGAAAGCAGATTAGAGGTTGCTGGGATCTGAGGAAAGGAAAAGGAGTGACTGATTAATCGGCATGGGCAGAATCTCCTTTGGGGGTGATGGAAATATTTTGAAATTAGACAGAGGTGATGGTGGCACAACATTGTATATGTACTAAATGCTACTGAATTGTACACTTTATTATTATTATTATTATTATTATTATTGAGACAGAGTCTTGCTCTGTCGCCCAGGCTGGAGTGCAGTGATAAAATATTGGCTCACTGCAACCTCTACTACCCAGGTTCAAGCAAGTCTCCTGCCTCAGCCTCCTGAGCAACTGGGATCACAGGTGTGCACCACCATGCCTTGCCAATTTTTATATTTTTAGTTGATACAGGGTTTTGCCATGTTGGCCAGGCTGGTCTTGAACTCCTGACCTCAAGCCATCTGCCTGCCTCGGCCTCCCAAGAGCTGGGACTACATGCATGAGCCACCACTGAATTGTACCCTTTAAAAGGTTAATGTCACATGAATTCCAGCTCAATTTTTTTAAAGAGTAAATGAAGACATCCAGGGAGTCTAGGGAATAAGGCTGCTGGATACCAGAATAGAAACGTGAGGGCTAGAGATGGACAAGGGATTGTATTGCTACCATTTGTTTGCTAATTCCACAGCTCTCGATCGATCCTCAACTCTCAAAGAGCTAACAAATTCCAACCTTTTATGTACCCCTCAAGAAAGTGTATTGGAATCCAAGGAGATGTGAATCTGCTTTTATATTTATAGAATACACATTAATCAATACACACGATTGTCAATAACGCTTAGTAAATGTAAACTTTTCAAATGTGTATCATTCATGAACACTGATCTTCTTGTGATTCTTGGTAGCTGAGCACCTGCCGCACTCCTCGCGCTAACTGCAACACGGCAGAGCTGCAGACCCGGCTTCCATTATTTCAAGGGGATACTTTTCTAAGTAAAGATAAGAAAGGTACCCAACGGCAAGACTTACTTCTGAGCCCAGGACAGTCAGTGCTACCATTAACCTATCCAGTGTCTTTGTGCCTTCCCGCAGGCATGCTAGATTCTGGTCCACACTTACCCCCTGAGAAGGAAGCATCTTTGCAGTGAACAACCTGCATAGCTGTACACAACAGCCCCAAGCACAGGCCTAGAAATACAGCAGAGGTACTTCCAAGTGCTGAAAGTAGGGGGCAACCTTAGAGGTAATCTTATCTCACCTACTGCATGCCTGAGGTCTAGATGACCCTTTTGTTTCTTATGGTACATTTGGCGGAGGGTACATTGATCAGCAGAATTAAGGTTTACAAAGAAAGTTAGAGGGACTAAGGGGGAAAAGAAGGTCCCAAGAATTCAGGAGGAAATGAGAAACCTCAAAGCGGGCAACTGGAAAGCCCTCCCCAGGAAACTGAATCCCTAAAGCAAATCATTTCAGAGGGCCTGTACATGAGGTGACTAGGAGCATGGGTTCTGCAGTCAGATAGACCTTGTTTCAAATCCTGGCTGTTACAGTGTGGCTGTAACTTGAGCTGAGTTATTTAACCTTTCCAACCTTCCGTTTATTTAATCTGTAAAAG